AGAATTTTCCAGAATCGACTCCGAAAGTACATTTCTTGGGATTAAGCACCATTGAATATTCTCTGAGAATGTTGAACATTTCCTGTAAGTGATCAATATGATCGGCCGCATGAACCGACTTGACTAACATGTCATCCACGTAAACTTCCATGGTATGTCCGATGAGTTTGGCAAACATTTTATTAACCAGCCTTTGATATGTGGCCCCAACATTTTTAAGACCGAACGACATCATAGTATAACAATATAATCCTCGTGCTGAATAAAAAGATGTATGTTCTGCCTCTTCAGGGTCCATTGGAATTTGATTATAACCTGAATATGCGTCCATAAAACTCATCAATTCATGTCCAGCTGTGGCATCCACCATGTAATCGATATGTGGTAAAGGGTAACTGTCTTTGGGACAGGCTTTATTTAAGTCGGTAAAATCAATGCAAAGTCGCCATGCACCGGAACTCTTTTTCACCAGAACAGGATTTGACACCCAAGTCGGGTATTTGGTCTCTTGAATGAACTTGTTGTCAACCAGTTTTTGAACTTCTTCTTCAAGAGCTTTCTGTCGATCAGGACCGAGTTTGCGTCGTTTTTGGACCACCGGTTTGATTGTTGGATCCAAATTAAGTCGATGGGAGGCGACCCTTGGATCAATTCCTTTCATATCCTCGTGTTTCCAAGCAAATACATCAGAATTGGCTTTGAGGAACTGAATGAGCCGAGTTCGTATTGGTTCTTGAAGATTGGCCCAATTTGCACCGACTTGTGACAAACTGGATCATCGATGAATATTACCTCGACTTCTTCTGATGGTTCAGCTCGTTCAAGTTTGCTTTTCTCCTTAAATTGAATTCGAGGATCAAGTACATCTTCTTCTTTAATTGGCTCTTTTCCCGGACGTCTCCCACGATCACATATCAAATCGTTGTTTGATTTCGCAGGATCAAGTTCCATCTCGGTATTGTATGATTCCGAGTTGATAAGTGTTGAATTTTCTTGGCTTTCTTCGATATCCTCCATCATATGTACGGGCATACAGGGTTCATGCCAGGGTTTAACCCATACCATTCCGCGAGCTTCGTACTGATCTCCATAATGAGTTCCTTCTCCATTATTAGTAGGAAATTTCAGAGCATAATGAAATATTGATACAGCTGCACGAAGCTTATATAAAGCAGTCCGTCCAATGATGGCATTATATTGATTTTTAAGATCCATCACCTTGAATGTCTCCATAATAACTTTGGAAGCTTGTCCAGGGATTCCGAACGAATTGGCATAGTGATTTCGCCGAGGGTTGTCGTTATGGTTCCATTAAAGCCTTGTACTTGATCCTTACAGGGTTTTAGCTCGGCTGGATCGATTCCCATTTGTTCAAATGTACGTAACATCATGATACTTGAATATGCTCCGGTGTCCACCAACATACGATGTATCGGTATTCCACAGATGTGTGCCGTGATTATTAAGGGATCAGCATGAGGGTGAGCAAAATAACTTGCATCATCAACATTGAATGTGATCGGGCAATTGTTCCGAGCATTAATTTTATCTCGGAGGTCAGTAGTTAAAACTGTTTTACCCGAGTTAAAAGCTTTTCGAGCATACGCTTTTATTTGCCTTCGTGATTCCAACGTTGCATTGCTGCTGTTGTTGACCCGAGGTACATGGTGTGAGTTGTCAGGATTATAGTATCCCCCTCGACACATCATTTCAGTCGAATCTCTTTCTCTTTGATTCGTCATGTATATTTCTTTCTCATTTGATCTCACCCGTTTTGGATTAATTGGACGCTCTTCATCGTCTTCATCGTCTGGTAAATCAGGCATTCTTCCTTTTCGTTTGTAATCAACANNC